GAGGTGCTCTGGTGCCGAGTTGTGTCGGTCATGTGTGCCGCCAGGTCATCAACTTGTTTCACTACTGCAAAGTCTTGCTTGACTACTGTATTTGAATTGTAATTGTTGTTCACAGTTTGCTTATCATGATGTTATTACTCAAATTCCTGTATCTCATTTTGTCTCTAATAATTTTTTGCTTTATCATGAAAAATAGCACCCCCTCCCCCACCCCCAGTAAATACATCCCTGTGTCTAATGGCTATGTTTTTGCTGGTCATACAAATTCATACAAAAGTCTATATTCCTCTTATTAAAATTATGGTTGAACATCGACTATCACAGATAACAAAGTAGCCTGACTCGCAGACATCCTTAAATGGCACAGAGCCATAAGGATGTGTGTGAGGCAGGCTAATAACAAAGCTATGGCTAAAGCTATATAAGCCACTGCCAGCCAGAAAAATGTACTGTAAAAGAATGAGAGTACTATTCTTGACTTGTAGCTATGTGGCCTGAACAGCCATGTTGGTGCCATTTTTTCAAAAGGATCTCATTATCTTATTCTTTTCACATATTTCTATAGATTTTTATACGCTGAGTTTGAATTCAGTTGTTGACACTTGCACAAACCTGCAGTTTTCTTGTATTTTGCGATCAAAGATCACGAATTTTCACTCCCTCAAAATCGAAAGCCGCCATTTTGTTTTGAGGAAAGTTCATGTTGAAACTTCATGTCTCAAAACTTCATTTTTACACAGATTTTTAACACAGTTTTGTCACAGAGTAGATAAGACATACAGAGACGGTAGCTGACCGTTGTAAACACTGCAGAAGATTACGTTATCATGTACCCACTTTTTTCAGGCGATCGGGCGAAAAATGATCAACTGTGCGTGCTCAGCAAGTTTAAAGTGAGTCGTCATCAGGTCGTCATCCAATCAGATGCATGCATCTAGTAACTTGCCGAGCATGCGCACAAAAAAAGTGGGGTACACTAGTTACGTCTCTGTATGTCTCTACTCTGTGGTTTTGTGCAATGCTGATTATTACTCTGGGGCCAGCTGTTCAAAGCTGGGTTAGCGCTAACCCAGGATTAAAATTTAAACCACTGTTTTGGTTTTTCTATTTCTGTGTGTCTGTTTATTTCAAAGCTTCAGAAAATAAAACCTCAATTGATCTAAACAAGATTCCTGTAAAAATATTTCCAAAATTTATGAAAAAGCAGTTAAAAGATTGCTTTGAATTTCATGCTAACCCTGGGTTAAGCTAACCGGCTTTTGAACATGATATGTGGTCACAGGCTCCACTAGGATATTCTCTTTAAGAGTTCAAGCAATAATTAGATTTGTGTTTTCTAATTGTGGTGTTATTTAGCACATCTGTAAACTATTTCATTGCCTAATATTGCATTTAATGATATCCTCAGTTTGTTTGGTTTGGTATAAATATAATTATATTTCAATAAAATATAAAACAACGGTAACTCCGAAAATAAACATTTTAATATTCTAGCTTTCGACTAAGATTCAGTCATCATCAGGAAATCTTAGTCGAAAGCTAGAATATTAAAATGTATATTTTCAGAGTTACAGTTTTTTATATTTTACTGCTTGGGTGACACTAATTTTAACACTTTCTGGAACACAAGAAGGGTCAGTGGTGCCTAAATTACTTTGAATTTGTACTCGAGTAAAAGTAGAAGGAATTAACAATAAAACGACTTGAGTAAGAGTAAAAAGTACTGGAGGCAAAACGTACTTAAGTAAAAAGTACAAAGTATCCTTAAGAAAGACTTGAAGTAGAAAGTAAAAGTACTATCGTTGGTAGCGTGTAGAGTGGCTTCTCCAATGGATTGACACACAAAAGACACAAAACAACACGCGCATTATATGTGTGCACTTAATATACAATATTTCATGGCATGCTCAATTTTCCAGACCCCATTGAAGAAACTCATTAAATAAATAATGCTTATAAGTAAGCCACAAATGAGAGATCCCAGGGGTATGTAGAGGTCCTTTTACCTATCTCAAAATTAAAATAAATCAGGAATAAATCACGTAGAATTAAACAAGAGTTAGAAAGTAACAAAATACTTCGCCACAAAATGAAAATAACGAACTAAAACGTTACTTCTTAAAATGCCAACTTAAACATATCAAAGACAATAAAGAAGATATTGAAAGATGGAGGGCAGAAATTCAACTTTTAAAAACGGATTTGGCCGCAACAATCATGATCAGATCGAATGATTTTATAAATGATGCTGACAAAGTAACAGAATAGAAACATCATTCGACCAGTATGTTCTCAACTGAAATCATGAGCAAGCAGGAGGCTGTGGTAGAGTTGTACAAGGAGATTGTTGAAAGTGGCCAAATGCTTGGAGGTTTACTCTATTTCAGAGAAACATGTTATCAAGGGTGAGATAAATTTAGCAAAGCAAGTGTTCAACATTGGATTGAGAGACCGTGAAGTCAAAGACCTTACAAACGTACTGAATCCTAAATTGTTTGAAGTCATGATGGAAAGCTCCAAATGAATTGTACCACAATCGTATCAGTATTAGAGCAACTTGTTTTATCCCCAAATGCTTCTAGAAATACCATCAAGACACCCAGCATGAAAATGAAAGCTGCCGTTCATCTTCTGGCATCACTTGTAGATGTAAGAGATCAGAATGCTAGCAACGATATATCAATTCTCTTTGGCCTTCTTTGTCTTTGTTTTGGTGCTGGCCCATCCATGATTGGATTTATTACAACATTTGGGATTGTCAGAATGTTACCCCCTGTCTTGTAAGTGAACTACAATGCCTATTTTTATAATTATTGTAATGCGTTGAATCTTAATGGCTAAGTGACAGCTTAGTAATGGGATTACGGTATGCAATGGACGAATCTTCATTGCAAAATACGTGTGGATCCTTATACGAAAATGTGACATATTGATTTGGTCCATGAAAGTACTTTAAAGTACTTATTAATTAAACTTATTTACTCAGAATCAAAATACCTTGAGTTCAGATGGAGAACTATAAATCTTTGATTGATGCACAAGTAGAAAAAGAAACACCCATGGTTATCTTTCAGGATAACATGCAGCTGATGCGGACATCAATGAGGCACCTCACACTTTCTAAGTTGCATAAAGATAAAGTGAAGCAGAATAAAATATGGGATTTTACTGTTCGTGGATGGTGTGTGGCAGATATCAGTGGGATAGAAGATTTGTTTCAATATAAGTCATCCGTTGAACCACAACGAGTTGTCAAAGATTTGAAATACGAAGACCTTCTTCTGATCAGTGTGAAATCAAAAAATCAAAAAATCTTAATTTTCGATAATGACGTCATAAATACTTTTTTGGCCTGGGAGCATGAATTGTGAGCCAATCACTTCACATCTTTATTAACAAGAGCAAGGCTCCCAGGCCAGATGATGTAATCATCAAAAAGATGTATTATTTTTCGGGTTCAATGTGATATTTCATGCACTCACTATAAGGCTTACTGGTGACCGGACTGGCAGTTCAACATTCAAAACAAGTTTTATATTTGTGCATATGTATCAAAAATGTATTATTTAAACTTTTGTTTTACAGAACATAACCCACCTCATGAAGAGAAGTGGAAAGAATTTCGGGAGCACAATAGATTGCAGAAAATGGATGTCGCTTTTAACACTGTTAACATAACGAAAGAACAACTGAGGAACATGAGAATCGAAGATTTACAGCGCGAGTTATCTCAATCACTTGAATCAGAGACATCAAAGTGATATAAGATAGTTGTTCCTAACATCCCATGCGAATTTCCAGACATGGCAGCAAAATAAGCACAAATATATCCATTGCACCACCCTTGGAGCCACCCGCAATTTGGATCTGTTTCAATAAGAATTTGATTTTGTCTCTGACAAACAGCCGAAATTCCTCCCTCTACAAAGTCCTGGAAAGGATTTTGACCTTGACAGAGCATACAAATGGTTTGCTTTTTTAAAAAGCCTAGAATATCACAAGAAAACCAATGTGATTACAAACAAATTTAGTGCAGAAAAGGTATAGTTGAAGAAATAACCGAAGACGATAATGAAGAAATCAGGACGACAAAGAGGATTCAGTGAGTGATTGGACAATTGAAATGAACAACAAATGAACAAAACGAGTTATTTAGACTCCAATTGTTATACATGTTATCAAGAGTGAGATAAATTTAGCAAAGCAACTGTTCAACAAGAAAACCAACATGATTACGAACGAAAGGAGTTATTTAGATTCCAATCGTTATATATATTAGTAGTTTAATAGCAACCTTGTACCCAGAGTCTTCACTCTTGGGGAGCGAAGACCCTGGTAGGAGCATAGAGATTATAAATAACACTAGAGGGGGCATCGAAGGAAAGATGAGAGAGTGCGGGTGGGGGCAAATTTAAGTCCTGTATATACAATCATGCTCTCATTGGTTAAATTGAAACTCCTTGCCAATGGGAACACAAGTACACATCCAGAACTTCAATTTGCCCCCTCCATTAGCCGCGTTTTCTTTTTTTACTGAATATTGCATTACAATGCCCCGTCTAGTGTTATTTATAATATATGGATAGGAGCTGGTCACATGATCTGCTAAAATCTAGCAGATTTTTAATTGGCCTTCTGTAAATTTGGATCTGTTTCAATAAGAATTTGAATTTGCCTCTGACAAACAGCCGAAATTCCTCCCTCTACAAAGTCCTGGAAAGGATTTCGACCTTGACAGGGCATACAAATGGTTTGCTTTTTTAAAAAGCCTAGAATATCACAAGAAAACCAACGTGATTACGAACAAATTTAGTGCGGAAAGGTATAGTTGAAGAAAGAACCGAAGACGATGATAAAGAAATCAGGACGACGAAGAGGATTCAATGAGTGATTGGACAATTGAAATGAACAAAATGAGTTATTTAGACTCCAATCGTTATACATGTTATCAAGAGTGAGATAAATTTAGCAAAGCAAGTGTTCAACAAGAAAACCAATGTGATTACGAACAAAAGGAGTTATTTAGACTACAATCGTTATATATATTAGTAGTTTAATAGCAACCTCGTACCCAGAGTCTTCTCTCTTGGGGAGCGAAGACCCTGGTAGGAGCATAGAGATTATAAATAACACTAGAGGGGGCATCAA